CCCCTGAGTAGCCACAGCTACCCTCTGGGGTGTGGGGCTGGAGGGGTCCGGCTTCTACCTCCACCCCCACCCCGCGGCCTGGTGCCTGACCCGGGTGCCTCTGCAGGGCCTCAAGGAAATTAGCAGGCCCTGCGCCTGGGTGGGGAAAGCACCGGTGTTGGTCTCTGCAGGGGGTAGAGGCTCTGGGGGCTGCTCCAGTGTCACCTGCTCTGGCACATAGCCCCTCCCCCCAGCAAGCAGGAATGGACCCGGGACCTGGGTCCCTGCTGTAGGGGGCCTGGCTGCCCCCCAAGGGCATTGTTAAGGTCACAAGTCACCTTTACTATCTTAACTCTGTCCCTCCTTGGGTGCCTCCCCTGTGCCTGCCAGGACCCTGCGGAGAGCTAGGTGCCTAACTGCCACCCACCCCCGAGGGCTCCACATTATCACCCGTATTGCACTGAAGGGACTGAGGCTCAGAGAGGTTAAGTGGACAGCCCATGGCCACACAGCTGGTGAGGGGGCCAGGCCTCTCTAGTGCCCTGTCCCCGCTCTCTCCACCTGGCAGATGGAGGAGAGTGGGGCCGAGCCTGGACAGGCTGGACACTGTCACTGATGAGCTCTCTCCTCTCTGCCCCAGGACCCCGGCTGTGCCAACCAAGCTCTGATCAGCAAGAAGCTTAATGATTACCGAAAAGTGAGGTGAGACCCAGCCCCCGGCCAGTGCCGTTTCGGGGAGGGCTGCCCTCTGGGCAGGGCCTCTCATGGAGCAGTGTCCCTGAGGGTGGGGGTGGGGGTGGGGGGCTCGAGGCAAAGGACAAGCCCACATTCGGGCTCCTTCTGCTGTGGGGAAGGGAGGGCCGCAGGGGGCTCAAGCGGCTGCCACCCAGATGAAGACCCCTCCTCTCCTGTTTCCCACGCAGCCATAGCTCTGGGCCCAAGGCCGATTCCTCTCCCAAAGGCTCTCGCGGCCTGGGGGGGCTCACGTCGGAGCTACTCAAGCAGAGTGCAGGGCGTGTCCTCAGGGTTCAGGACCTGCCGGCCGGGAGCAAGGGTAGGAAGGAGCTGCCCACCTATGGGTCAACCAAGGGTGGGAAGGGAAGGTTTTGAGTGTGTGTCTGCATGTCTGTGTGCTCTGCGCGCGCGCATGTTTGTGTGTGTGTGTCCAGCTGTGTCTGTGTGTCTGCTTGTGGGGGGTGTGGGGGGAGTGTGCCAGAGTGGCTGCTGTGGTCATGTGTTAGGGTTGTGTGCTGGTCTATTCCTGTGGGGGCCTGGGGGGGGTCCCCATCCTCTGCTCAGGTATCTACAGGAGGCTTACCTTCTCAGAGGCAGCCTGTTCCATCTCCTCCCTCCTTGGGCTGTTAGAATAGACAGGTGTTCCTTTGGTTGGATGGGATCTACAGCTGCCCCTCCTGGTCTTAGTGTGGCTCCTGAGGCCACTTGGGTCTGCTCTCTTGGGATGGAATTTCCTGCCAGCCTCAGCATTTGCTCATTTCATGTGTGAATGTGGCATTGGAAGTGCGTGATCACGTGGGGTTGCTGCCCCTGTCTGTGCCCCCACCCCCAGCTCACCCTGGCTCCCTCTGCTCCCCTCAGATGACAGTGCAGCTGTCCCCAGAACCCCCTGGGGCATTAACATCATCAAAAAGAACAAGAAGGTGACCCCAAGGGCGTTTGGGGTACGCCTGGAGGAGTGCCAGCCAGCCGCAGAAAACCAGGTGGGTCCTCCAGGCTCCTGAGCAAGTAGAGGGTGGGGGTGGGGGAACCAAGGTGCCAGGCTCCAAGGGCCGGGGGAACCAGCAGTCCAGAGACCAGGTCTCCCAGGGCAGGATAGAGTCCCTGCCCCTCCTCGGCTCCTTCCACTCCTGCCTTGGCAGCAGCTCTGGGCTTGGCACTGCCTCCTCTGGCCCTCTGCGACATCCCCTCCCCATCCCTAACACCCTGACTGCCTGTGTCCCCAGCGTGTCCCCCTGATCGTGGCTGCATGCTGTCGCATTGTGGAAACTCGGGGGCTGGAGTCCACGGGCATTTACCGAGTGCCAGGCAACAACGCCGTGGTGTCCAGCCTACAGGAGCAGCTCAACCGAGGGCCTGGTGACATCAACCTGCAGGATGAGGTAGGCGGCCGGCCTCTGCTGAGGGTCTGCAGGAGGCTGGACAAGGTGGGGCGTGATGAGGAGGATTGTGTCGTCCGCCCGATGTGTCGTGGTCACTGGGCTCTGCAAAGTGCCCACACTGGGCCCCAGGCTGGGCGAGACCGGACCCAAGGCTGATGGCTGGTGGATGAGCGCTGCCTCGACCCTGAGGCAGAGCCTGGGGGACAGGGGCTGGTGGAGCGCTCCGGGTTGAGGGGTGGTCTTCCAGCTGGGTCTGTAGACTGAGCAGCCAACTGAAGCCAGTTGATGCCAGCTCTTGGCGCCCGCCTGTGCCCTCTGTGGGGGTTCTCAGCTGTGACTGTCGGAAGCAGTTCACCAGGACTTTCTACTCCGGGGGGCCCCCCCGGGGCGGTTCCCGCAGCTGAACTTTCCTGAACAGTTTGTGCGAGTCAGGGGCTCCACCAGAGCAAGGAGGTTTCACTGGAAGCCCGTGAAAGTCAGGTCCCGGTGTTCCTGGCCACCGCAGGGCCCGGGGCCGCCTGGAGTTCCCTGTAAAAGGCCTGGAAGTCAACCACAAGAGCCCTAGTTACACATTGGGCTGCCCACTGAAAGGTCGGCAGTTCAAAACCACTGCCGCTCCTCAGAACAAAGGTAAGGCTGTCTACCCTCAGGAAGGGTTCCAGCCTTGGAAACCCCTGGGGGCAGTTCTAGCCTGTCCTATAGGGCAGCCACGAGTCCTTCCCCATGGACTCGATGGCCCTGAGCTTAAGGTTGAGTCGACGCCATAGGCTTTGGGGGCGTCAGGGGCGCTGCTGCTGCTTCAGCCACTTGAGCCCCTGCTTTCTCCCCTTCCCCACCCCTCCTTTGTCTTCTGAAAATGTAAAGACCATCCTTCACTCCAAGGCTGTACAAAAACTGACCTGTGGTCCGGGGACCCTGGGCATCAAGAGCAAGTGCATGGGGCTTTCTGGGGCGGCCAGCAGTTTGGGGCACACAGGGTGTCTGGTGAGTCGAGAGCAGCCCAGGAAGGGATCTGGGCCGGGGATTCTCCAACTGTGCCCTCCGAAGTTACCGGGTTCCGCAGAGCGGTGGGGAGGCCAGAGCCGCCTCCCTTTGATCTGCCTGCCAGGTTGGGTTTGCATAAAGGGTTTTGGGAATCCGTGCACCTGGGCAGTGAAGCACACAACTCAAACGCTGGGCCCCTCGTGTGACACATAAGACCGTTCCTGCCCCGGGGGAGATGAGGAGACTCAGCCAGGAGGCGTGGAACCTCAGACAAGGAGTGAGCTTCTCGTCAAAGACCCAGTTGTGTGATGACTGGCGGGGGAGGGCGCACACAGGCCGGGAGCAGGTGGTAGACTACTGGCTTTGCATCTTAGAAGGATGGAGAGGAGGGGACAGAGGAAAGGGAGTGGTCCAGGCAGGGACAATGATGACATTTCCGAAAATTCCAGAAAGGGCTTGAGAGTGGGGGCCCAGAGAGGACCCATCTCCTGGGCTGGGAGGTGGCCGTGTTGAAGCTGTGAACTTGATCTAGTTCTCAAGGGGCCATAAATCAGGGTGAGGCTTGAGAAAGAGTCATGTTTCAACCAAAGCCTCAGCTGGACAGGAAGGAGGGGGCAGAGCAGGGAGCTCAGTGCGAGGTGACTAAAATCCTGCAAATGTGCGGGCCCAGGAAGGCTCGGTGGTGTCAAGAGGAGGAGCAGTGGGAGACGATGCTACCTGTTGACCGCAGGACAGAGAGGACAGACAGGCAGGGACAGGCCCGACGCTGGAGCTGGGGACTGGTGGGGCCTGATCCTTGCAGGCCAGACCATGGCAGCTTTAAAGGGAAGGGGTGTGTCTGGTAGTGGCTTCCCTGGATGGCTGGGGGAGGGTGGGCAGCAGGAGCGCAGGACCAGGCTCTGGGGGAACGGAAGGAATGGGACACTCAGGTAAGGCTGGAGGTGAGGGGCAGACAGGTGCACAGAGGCAGCGCCAGGTGAGATGGAGCCAGATCCGAGGTCTGGCAGCTCAGGGACTAGAAGAAGTGGTGAAAGGAGGTCAGCGGGAGCCTCCCTGCACAGGGGGCATGAGCTTGGCCTTAGCCCCCAGGGCAGGTGGGGGGCCCCCCCGAGCTGAAAAGGCAGCTGGTCTAAGCCAAGGATTGCGTTGGGGCGTGCCCTGTGTAGTGGGTGCCGTGTTTTGTCTTCTCCGTCGCTAATTGCGCTGTTGTGGGAAGGGCTGCATGGAGGACGAATCCAGCTGTTCCGGAGCCTGTGGGGCATGCACGGTGGTTTGTGGAACTGCCCGGCCCTCCGTTGTGGAGCCCCTGTACAGAGTGTGCATGTGGTCCTGTGGTGCCCTTTGTTGTGGGCATAAGGCTGCATTCATGCCCGGCTGGAATTCCCACCGAGGTTGCCAGTGCTGCCTGGCTGCAACGTGGCGGGGTGGCGCCCTCTGGCGCCCAGAAAGGGTAATAGCGTGTGGGTTGTTGGTTTTCCAGCAGTGAATGGGGTCGAAGGGCTCACACAGCAGATCCGATTCCCACTCAGCAATGCGTACACGTTTGTGTCGTGATCCTGTAGTGTAACTGCACTCTTCCCACTGCCTCCCTGTGTTCTGTTTCCAGCCTTCCTCCTTTCCTCCCC